GAACAAAACATTATGTGTGAAATACCAGTTCTCCATTAAACACCTATAGGCACACTTTCTCTACGCATTGTACATATTAACACTTAAGGCTTATAATGTGGTAATTCAGCTTGCTTCTTGTTTGTCATTTTATCTAATCTGGATTGGATGGGCGACAACACTCCTCCCAAGGCATAACATATATCTAAACCGTTTCTAAGTTTTGTTTAACAGCACACATAGAGAAATGAGGCTCACAGAATATTAGAATGGAATGGAAGAAAAAAATTCAAAGCAACCTCAGCAAGCTCAGGATATTCATTTTTTAAATTGCTATCCAAAATGAAGCAAGTGGCGCTGTATTTTTAAAACTTATCTTCAGTCCTTTATCAGTAGTAGTCATTTCTGACCATGTATTCTATAAAGTTATAATCAAATATCAATTATATTCCAAATAAAATAGCTCATAGCTTTTACGCACTATTGGGTAACAATTTTCAAACGAAGCTTGAAATGTCACACACTGTAACGGAGTCCTACTCACATGACTACTACACAGTTCAAATCCCACGCAACTCATCACATGACTTACATAAAGCCAAGATGGATCCCGTTCATCACTAAAGAGTCCACATGCATGAATACTGAACAAAGTCAAATTATTGCTACAAAAGTTTTGAGACGCTTACCCTCAACTTCTGTACTTACATTGTCATAAACTGGTAGCAAAGAGTTCATACCAGTCTGGCTCTTTGAACAGCACTGCTTTAGATCTTCCTACAGAATAAAAGGTCAGGATTTAAATAGGCATCTTTCTCAGAAGCCATTTAGATTCTAGTTTTCTAGATATGTTCTGGATAAATGAGACTATCAGATGTGGAGCCACAAATAAGCAAGATAAGGTGAACTCATCTGTTGAGGAGATCTGTATCATTAATTCAAACTACAAAGATATTTTATAATTTTATTTTCTGTTAGATTCACACCTTTTGAGGGAACAAAGTACATCCTCTCCATATGTGAGGTTTATGTTCACGTTTCTACTTGTTCATAAAAATAACTTTTATTTCACAGGAAAAAGGAACTATACATATCCAAGATGACAAATAATATTAAAATGCTAACAACTTTCCCACTGAAATTAGAACAATGCTTTATAATACATCCAAAAAACAGACAATGTATATATCTAACTGAGTAACTAAAACTGCCCACTATTCAGCCTTGTAGTATTAGTTGTCTGAGATGTTGTTATTTGCTAGTTATTTAAGTTCAAACCTGGATGGGAAATTTTTTAGCATTTTCCCATTCGCAGTTGTCCAGTCTGGAAACCCTCGACCTGCTTCTTCTCCCAAACCTTAAATCTAATGAGTTTCACAATGCTATGCATTCTACCTTTCTGCTACCTAACAAATCCCATCTCTTTCAGTTTCAGCTGCCGTTGCTTGTGCTCAGGTTCTCATTGGCAATTGTGTGGATTTGTGTTTCAAGTTCTTAACCAGCCTCATTCCCTTCCTTTCCGGATCCCTTTATCTTTTGTAAAACCAGAATTATCTTTTCAAAATTTAATACAAGGGTTTTGCATGATCCAATGAGGGCGGGCGGCGTGGCCAGGACTGGTGGCGACGATGATGCGCCTGCGCATAGACGGCGGCACGCCTGGGGTTGACTCCGGGGGCGCGGCGAGGAGAGAGATGAGGCTGAGCTGGGTCTTGACAGTACTGTCCATCTGCCTGAGCGCCCTGGTCACGGCCACAGGGGCCGAGGGCAAACGGAAGCTGCAGATTGGAGTCAAGAAAAGGGCAGACCACTGTCCCATCAAATCGTGGAAAGGGGACGTCCTGCACATGCACTATACGGGGAAGCTAGAAGATGGAACAGAGTTTGACAGCAGCCTGCCCCAGAACCAGCCCTTTGTCTTCTCCTTGGGCACAGGCCAGGTCATCAAGGGCTGGGACCAGGGGATGTGTGAGGGGGATAAGCGGAAGCTGGTGATTCCATCAGAGCTGGGGTATGGAGAGCGGGGAGCTCCCCCAAAGATTCCAGGTGGTGCAACCTTGGTGTTTGAGGTGGAGCTGCTCAAAATCGAGCGACGTTCAGAACTGCAGCCAAATTGGAGAGGGGCGGTGGAAAGGCCCTCATCAGGGACCAGACTGTTTAAAGAAAAAAAAAACCTTAAACCCCCCCCCCAAAAAAAAAAAAAATTTAATACAAATCAGTCTCTACAAAATTCAAATTCCTTAATTTTAGATACAAAATCCATAATCTGAGTGCCCTTTCTCCATAATCCTTTTGCCAATACCTCATGGAATCAACATACCTACCAACCGTTCATCATCTAGAAACTACTTTCTGAGTCTGGTGTATTTCCATATTCTCCTTTATTTTGCAGTGGTACTGTGTAAATCTAGACAGGTAAGTTTATCCTCTGTTTGTTAGCACATAATGATGAAACTGTAATTCTGATCATGATATTCATCATTTTTCAAGTTAAGTGCAGGATACCAAATCCCATTAGGAAGTAGAATGTCACATACATAAATTGTCTGGGTCACCTTAATCTTAGTCAATGCTTCAAATGTCTAAAAATTAGTATGCATTTCATGTGTGTGCACGCAATATGCACATATGCACACACACTCATTTTCATGCACTGCTTGTATAGGAACATGTTGAAGAAGGCAGAGCCAGCCTCTACAAGTCTGTGGTTTCCAACAGCTGCAAGGAGATGTCTTGTTACCCGGACTTTCCATTCCCGGAAGATTATCCGAATTATGTGCCAAACTCTCAATTCCTGGATTATCTCAAAATGTATGCAAACCGGTTCAACCTCCTGGAATGCATTCAATTCAAGGTAAGAAAGGCACAAAACATCAGTTAGCAGTCAGGAAATATTTCCTACCTATTCTGTGTTATCTCTCTCTACCTGGGGCTCTATAAATGAGAGAATGAACTGGCAAGACCAATGACACCTGGTTGGATTCTTTCTCCCCTTTTGCTTACAATCACCCTAAGTAAATCTGGAGGTAGAAGTGAATATTTGGTCTAAGGATTCATGTGTAGAAATTTTTTAGTTTGCAATGCTTCCATCCAAGTATCCAAGTGGACCTTAAAAATATCAAACTGCATTTTCAGTTTGGGCCAAATACCTATACACAGGGACACTGAGAACTTCCTACCAGCTCCTGGGTTCTCCCTTTTTACTGTCCGTTTATAGAAATGGATGTGTGCACTGGCTCATACACAACAGAATCTCACTGTTTGAAGGAAAACTTCTCTAGATATCTTTGGAATTAGAAAAATCTTTGACATTGCTCTTCTCATGGACCATACCCACCTCCTTTCCCATTTTAGGGGAAGAGACAGGAGGTAGGTAGAAAGACAGAAGCAAATAAATATATCCTCTTTCTTTCTTCCTGTTTTTCCTTTCTCTGCAAGAAACACATGAAAATTCATGTGATTCTCTTCTCCTATTACCCTCCCTATAAGAGGTAGGGAGGGTTAGGAATTCATGGAGAAGTACACAGAAAAAGTAACATGAGTGGAAAGATTGACCAAAACAAGTAGCATATAAGATTCACATTCACAACCTTTAAAGTATTCCTGATCAAAATGAAATCACTATCTTGAAGAGATATCTGTATCTCCATATTCATTACAGCATTATTTACAAAGGCCAAACTATAGAAATAACTTGTGTCCATTGATGGATAACTGGATAAAGAAATGTGATAGATGATTAATAGATAGGCAGATAGACAGACAATGGAATATTATTCAGCTATGGTAAAAAAAAAAACTTCTGTCACTTGCAAACACATGGATGAACCTTAAGGGCATTATACTAAATGAAATAACTCAGACAGAGAAAGACAAATTTGTATGATCTCATTTATATGTAGAATCCAAAAAATAAAAAGGGACCTTCCCTGGCAGTCCAGGAGTTAAGACTCTGAACTCCCAATGCAGGGGTCATGCATTCAATCCTCAGTTGGGAAGTTAAAGATTCTTCATGCCCCCAAAGCATGGCCAAAACAAACAAACAAACAAAAACCCAAACTCACAGAAATAGAGAACATACTGATGGCTGTCAGAAGTAGGCTAGGGAATAAGGGAAGGTGGTCAAAAGGTTTAAACTTCCAGTTATAAGACAAATTAGTTCTGGAGATACATTCTATATTGTGTAAATCAATTCTGGAAATGTATTGGTAATTATAGGGCTTCCCTGGTGGCTCAGAGGTTAAAGTGTCTGCCTGCAATGCGGGAGACCCAGGTTCGATCCCTGGGTTGGAAAGATCCCCTGGAGAAGGAAATGGCCTTCTCTCCTTTCTCCAGGATTCTCTTGCCTGGAGAATCCCATGGATGGAGGAGCCTGGTAGGCTATAGTCCACGGGGTCGCAAAGAGTTGGACACGACTGAGTGACTTCACTATTGGTAATTGTACCATACTGTATATTTGAAAGTTCCTAAGAGAATAGATCATGAAAGTTCTTATCAGAAGAAAAAAATTGTAACTATGTGGGGTGATAAATGTTAACTAAACTCATTGTGGTAATCATGTTATAATATACACACATGTCTAAATCATTAGGTTGTACACTTTAAACCTATACACTGGTATATGTCAATTATACCTCAATAAAACGGGAGAAAATTAAAAGTACTCAAGTTGTCCAAAGACTATTTCATCCCACTTCCTTATTTTCCATGGGATAGAGTAAAAATAAAACTACCATAATCAATGGATATACTCCACAAAAATATTCTTTAATGTATCAGAATTTCTGAGCCTGAAGCATTTCCTTTGCTACCTGCTTTCCAAGCCTGTTTTAAAATAACTTAAAAACATATAAAACTGGATGTTCACCAAAGTTTTAAGAAAGTACACACAAGCAGCTGTCTGTGAGAGGTTTTGTTTTCCTTCCTCTCTATACATTTCCAAGTTTTCAATGAAAAATTCAGTATTTTCAAGATAAAAATAAATTTTCTTTTGAATGATTTTTTTAATTAGCTGAAAATTTATGCTTTAAAAAGATGATTGCTAGTACAAATGTAGACCCCAACAAGCACTTCAAGTATGATAAACCAGACAGTGAACCATTAAGTGGGACTTGAGAAGCCTGTCCTCTTTGAAACCTGAAGAGGAAAATGAGGCAGCAAAGTCTCTTTTATGCTTTTAAATTTGACTTGTAAGTTTCTTTTATATATTTTCTGAATCAGAACCTAGTACCCATGGACATACATGTACTCGAAGAGAACAAAAATAGACTACAGTTGACCCTGGAACAACATGGGTGATTAGAGGTGCCAACTCTGCACAATGGAAATCTCCCATTTCCTCCATTTCTGTGCTGTCTCTGCATCCACAGTGCCACATCCATGGATCCAAACACTTATGAATCCTGTTTACTGTAATATTTACTGTTTTTTAAAAATCCACATATAAGTGGACCTGCACAGTTCAAACCCATGTTGTTCAACAACCAACTGTATTTGAAATTCAGACAACTCCACAGAAATTCACCCATAAAGTGAGCACTCTTCCATAGTTCCCTCAGTCTGGGCAAAGTTCTGTACCATAGCCTATAAGGCCTTTCATAAGCTAAGATACTTGTGACCAGATTTATATTTTCAATTATATACTATCCATGTCTCTCTTAAAGGAACAGTTGAAAAGAATTGTCTCTTGAGTCCCTTTGCTGTTCACCTGAAACTACCACACCATTTTTAATTGGCTATACTCCAAAAAAAATACAAAATAAAAAGTGTAAAGTTGAAACAAAGGAGTTGTTTCTATAAGAACTAGACATGGCAGAAAAAGAATTTTAAAAACACAGAAAGACCTAGGTTATAATCTTGGTTCTATAACTCATTGTGAGACTTGGAGCAAATCACTTAAAATTCTTGGGCCTGACCACCTCCCTTCAATACCCCTATACGACTCTAAGCTTAGAATCCTTCCATCCAGAAAACTGTGATTAACCTGAGAGCCCAATTCAATGTCTAGGGTTATGCTTATTATATTTAGTCTGTGCCCGAGAACATTTGAAATAATTGGCATGTCAGCCAGCAAGCCCTTTCTGGAATATTGAAAACTATTAACCATGTCTATAATTCTCTTTTCAGACAAAAGTCTGCAGTGTAAGAAAACGCCCAGATTTTACTGCCACTGGCCAGTGGGAGGTAGTCACTCTGCGCGAAGGGAAGCAAGAGTCAGCCATCTTTGATGCTGTCATGGTCTGCACTGGTTATCTTACTAATCCGTATTTACCACTGGACTCCTTTCCAGGTATAGCCCTTTCTACAACTGACTTTAATTTGTCTTATGTGAGCCACCCTGATACTGGATTGTTCTGGAAATAAATTCCTATTGATTTCCTCCATTAAATAGTTAAAATAGTGAGGTAAGAGGGTTTTTTCCCCTGACAAGCACTATTTGGCCAGATTCTGGCTTTCATCAGTTTCAAACAAGGTTTGAGTACCAAAGAGTAGAATGAATAACTATGAAGCAGTTTCGTGCTTCACTGAAGTTCAGTGTCCATCTCTAAGTGACTGGCAGCACCAGAAAAACTTCTAAGACACGGGAGGCCTAGACAGTTTACTAGACACAGCAGTAGTGCATTAACAAAGGTGAGAGGAGAGGTCACAAGCGTCAATCTGTGAATAAAGGAAAAAAGAACTTGATTTTTGTTTGTTTGTGTCTATGGGTCACGGCAGTTACCCAGATCAAAGGTTTACGGCACTGGGTAATAGTCACCAGGGACAGGAGTCTTGGGAGACAAATTAAGACATCTTTGGGCCTCAGTTTCTTCATCTGGTTTTGCAACCATGATTCATTTATGTCAAACTTCAATTGGATTACAACTCAGAGGGAATAGAAAATCCAGTGGCTTGGTTTATTTAATCTGCAGCAAAGGATTCAAAAGGTTCAAACTTTAGCAAATTTTTCTCTGAGTCATCTAAATATGACTTGTAGTGATCACAAGGCTCAGTTCACAATTAACTCATCTACCTCCAATGATACTTGGTCTGCTCCCAGCGGTTACTGAAGTCAGGCCACGTTAAGATAAAACACACCCTGAAAACTGTCATAGACTATGATCATTGAATTGGAACGCAGCTCAGCCTTCTTCCTCGTACAGGACACTCTTCAGCATCCCTGAGAAAGACTCAACAGCCTCTGCTTGAATGCATTCAACTATGAATTCTTTCCACCTCACCCATTTCTTGCCTACAGAGAAAAGCCCTGAGTAGGCAAGTTACTCCAACTCCCAGTAGGAGTGCCTGGTACAGGATCACTCCAAGAATCCAGAAAATTTCATGACAGAGAGAGTATACTGTGTTTATTGCTAAGAATACAGAAGTGGATGAGACAACACATAGCCTGCGTGAAAGGAATGAAATGAGTTTTATAGGAGTCCAGTGGAGTAATCCCACTCTACATATGACCTGTAGTGACAGCAATACTCACTTTACAACAAATTCATGTACTTGAAGTGGTCCTGGACCTGCCCTGCAGATGTTACTCAAGTCAGGTGAGATTAGGATAAAGCATAGCTTGAAAGCAATGGAGCCAATGTGTTCAGTTTAAATAAGATGAGCTTGGGACCCAAGAGGTATAGATTCTCGGTTATACAGTTAAGAAGCTATGATCCTTTTGTAGTTCATGGGCATGATGATTGGGTGTTCATGTTGTTGCATGACATGTGCTCCCTCCTAAACCTTGTTAGGACACCAGCACATTACCCATCAGATGTTAAAAAAAAGAAAGAAAAAAGCTATATAATCTTGGGCTTTACACTTAACCTTTCTAAGCCTCTGTTTTCCTTCCTAGAAACTGAGGGGTTTTGACCTATCTTACCCAACATTGTATATCACAAATCAAGCAAACAGATCTCTACAGTATTTGCCATCCTTCTCAATATCCATATTACCAGCCACTACCAATTGGTTATTTCAAATCCATGGCTGAATTATTGTTAAGGAGCCTTTGAGCACTAAAATTTCATGACTTTAGACTTGAAATGGAGTCCTCCAAACCTCATCATCTCTCTCTCTGCCCCATAGCAGACTTACACACACCCTGGAGTAGCTGTTAATCATCACAAAAATTAAGCTCATTTAAGTTATTCAAAAAACCATGTCATGAGTTCTGGAGGCAATTCGAGAAGAAAGTGTTCCCAAAAGTCTTAGTAAATATAATAGGTATTACAGTTGGAATAAATATATAACTTCCCAAAGTAACTTATTTTATTAATTCAGAAGCCATATACATTCAGCTGTTTACTAACACAGCCACTTCACCTAACAAAAGTTCTTGTTCTGTTCTCCTGTAATATGAGTGGGGAAAGTATTAGTCTGATAGAAGACTCAAGCCACAGAGTCTCATATTTGTCCACTTGTGATCCAAAAAAGCCTGATCCGGAGAGAATCTAAGATAATCTAATATTCATAGATAATGCTATTATTCTCGTTAAACTTGTCCAGCTCTCCATTCCTGGCAGTTCTCGGATCCATATTGGGTCAAATATTGAGCTAAGTCAATATTTGAATTTGATGGCATTGTTGCTAAACTCAATATGATCTAGATTGTGGTTGGGTTTTAACTGAGATTCATGTTAGATTTCTAAAGATTTAAGGTGAAATAAACAGTTACTGGGCCTTGGTTAAGGATCAGTAATGTGCCACTAATGTGCCACGGCATCTATATCCTGAGAATTCACCGAGAATCTAGGTGTACTGTGATATTTTCTTTAAGAAAAAAAATGTTCTTTGTACAGGATTGCTTTTGATCGTTTTATGCAACCTAAAAGTATTTTCCAAAACCCTCCACAAGCATTTGATGTTTCAGTGAGAGTTGGCATCAACTGAGATGTCTTATCTAATTCAAATAGCTCTGATCCCAGTATAACTAACATAACTCCTTTTTCTCTGAGCCAACTCTGGCTGACTCAGCAAACCTAGCCTGAGTTACCATCAGTCACCAAGGTGAACACACAAGGATGTTTCAAATTGGGACCATACTTTTATTTCCTTTTTTAAAAAAATTTTGGTTGCACTGGGTCTTTGCTGTGGCACTCAAGTTTCTCCTGTGTCACACAGGCTTAGTAACACTGCAACATGTGGGATCTTAGTTCCCCAACCAGGGAGGTGAACCTGCACCCCCTGCATTGGAAGCCAGATTCTTAACCAATGGATCACCAGGAAAGTCCCATATTTTTATTTCTTATTTCCCATATCATCTAGCACAGTGTCCGGCACATTAGAGGTATCCAAAAAGTTTGCTGAATACAGTGGAAGCACTGACTCATAGTTCACTTAAACTTCTCTGCTCTTTCTCCTTGCTTATGAAAACTTCTAAATAATCAAACATTAGCAAATAGAGTATTTCTGTCCCATTCATTTCTATCAAATTTTTAAAGTAATGACTTCTTATGCTTTAACTTAATAAGCCTTAATGCCATGACTTTTTTTTTCTCTCTTTCCTTCTTCTTTTTGTTTTTGTTTTTAGCAGAAAATGGTTTACTGCAGGGCAAAGCAAGGATGGGTGGGTCATGCTCAAAACCTTTGAAATATCCAGTGGGTTGGGGGGAGGATTTTTTTTACAGTGCCATGATATTTTAACTTAGTAATCATCTAGTAAGTAAAACTAGAGGTCCATCTAATGAGATGGAGTATCTCCATTAAATGAATAATCACTCACCAATTTCTGTATCTTGCATAATTATGTATCCATGTTTCAGATTTTCTTAAAATTGAGTATGTTATTAAAACAACCTAAATCACCCATCCAAAGGGTGTTATTAGCTGAATAATATGTGTGTTTCATTCACAGATCTTGTAAACTTTCTATCTGACTTCCTTTTTTCTTCTATAGGTATAAATACTTTTAAAGGCCAGTATTTCCACAGCCGAGAGTATAAACATCCAGATATATTTAGGGACAAGAGCATTCTTGTTATTGGAATGGGAAATTCTGGCACAGACATTGCTGTGGAGGCCAGCCACCTGGCAAAGAAGGTATGATTCTTGGTGTTACCTAATGAGGAACTTTATCTTAAGATGCATGCCTCAAGCAAACTGTCAGACACCATGATAGATGATGAAAGGAAAAAAGAATTCCTACACACAAACAGATTTTTTAGGTGCTTTTTTCTTGAATGTTCATAAATGTTCCTATAAATTCCAGGTATCATATTGTGTCATTTTTCCTCAAAAATGTGGGTTCTCTGACTTCTTATTTTTGCTATTTTCCCAGCCAAAATGAGTTACAGGAAGCATCTGTTTCTTACTCAGTCCCATTAGTCAGGAAATTCTGGCTAATTTTTTCTTACTAAGATCTCCCATTTGCTCCTTCCTTTCCTTATTGATTGCCACCATCCTCATCAGGTCCATACCACCTCACGTCGAATCTATTACACTTTCCTTCTCACAATTATGGGAAGAGTTACTATTACTGGGGCTTGCTTACTCTGTACCAAGAACAGCACTAAAGGCTTTACTGCATGACCTCAGCCAATCATCAAAACAAGCCATGAAGTAGGTACAAGACTCCTTAACCATCAGTGAAGAAACTGAAACCTAGAGTTAAACAAGCTGCCTAAAGGCACACCACCAGCAGCTGGTAGAGCCAGTCCTTAAACCCAAGTCTCTTCCATTCAAAGCCCCTGCTCCTAACTCTACCTTAAGTGCCTGTACTCCTGCCCCAGTCCAGCCCCCCACACACGACAATCCATCCAGACCCCCAACACCAACAAACAAATCCTCTGAAAAGCCTGCTCTCCTTATCACACTCATGTTAAAAAAACTAACAACTCCTCCCTACCTAAAAAAAAAAAAAAAAAATCATTACAGGGCTCTCCATCACCTGGCCCAGATCTGCCATTTTACCTTTATCCTGCACTGGTTTCCCACATGATCATCAACTGAACGCTGACTGGTCTACTCTGTGACCTTTCCCACCCCCAAGCCTCAATCTTCCCCTTCACTCACACCATAGCCCTCCCTTCTGCAGTGCCCTTTTCTCTTTTATGACAACTTACATTTACATTCCCAGACACCTCTACCCAACACAAACTCATCTCTCCAGTATGAATTGATGTAATAATTGAAATTTACACTCCTCAGATGGCACTTTGAATTCTTGGTATTGCTCATTACCTTTTATGAGATTTCTCAGTTGGTGCTAGAGGTAAAGAACCTGCCTGCCAAATGCAAAAGACTTATGAAACTCAGGTTCAATCCCTGAGTCGGGAAAATCCCCTGGAGGAGGGCATGGCAACGCACTCCAGTATTCTTCCCTGGAGAATCGCCATGGATGGAGGAGTCTGGCGGGCTACAGTCCACAGGGCCACACAGAGTTGGACATGATTGAAGCAACTTAGCACGGCACAGCAATTACCTTTTATATATAGGCAAAATACATAGTATGTATTATTTATAGTATGTATTTTCTTTCCAACTATGCTATGAACTCATTGAAAGCCATTCAGGTAACAAATCAATATTAGTTGTTGAATTCTGCTATACCAAATGTTGTGCCAGGCATGGAGGATACACAGGAGAACAGAATAATCAAACAGGATTCCTGCTGTCATAGATGGTGTAGTCATGGGGAAAACAGATGTCATGTAAATAAGTGTAAATAATTAAATCAATAATTGCAAGAATGAAAATAGGCATGAGGAAAAAGAATTGGGAGTGTGTTCCTTTCTGGAACTTCAAGGAAGGAACTTGATAATTCATTGACTCATTTGGAGAGACTTAGCAATTTGGTAGAGTTATCCCAAAGGAAGGAAAAGGAGGTTCTGAAGCAAAAATCAGCACAGGCCCATTCACAATGACCAAAACATGTGAGTCATATATTACTACTTCTATTTCTCTAACCACTGGAAATTTCTTCCATCTGAAAACATGCTTTGGCACACACCATTTCTATATTGACAAGGAAACTCCCCTTGTTTCAGAATATAATTCATTTCTACCAAAATATCATAATTGATTCTTCATCATGATGAAGAAAGGCAGGTGCAAATATGTCTAATGTCAGAATTACTGATGTGCTTGTAGTTCTTGCCACCATAAGGCTCCATCATATTATGAGGCTTCTTTGGTAGCTCAGATGCTAAAGAATCTGCCTGCAATGCAGGAGAACCAGGTTCTATCTCTGGGTGGGGAAGATCCCCTGGAGAAGGGAATGGCTACCTACTCCAGTATTATAAGGTCAATCAAAATGTATCATAAAAGCACTAACACTGCAGCTATGGCCACCATGCCCCAGTTTATTGGAAGAGAAAACAGGCATTAAACCAGTTGTTTTGTATTTGCAAAGCAACAGATCGGTTGACTAAATTTTTCAATTTTAAAAAGTTATACAGACAACTCTTTGTTGTATAGGTTCCAAAGTAACTATTACCTTAATGAACTAGGTCAGCTGATAAACTCAAATAGTCAAATAATCTGTTTTTTAAAAATCCACCAAAACTAGTTGTATTACTGAATTTTACTATCAGTTCTAACAATGCTTTATGTTGAAACCTTTTGCAGACATCTTTTTTTTTTTTTTTAAGCTGCACTGTGCAGCATGTGGAATCTTAGTTCCCTGGATAAAACCTGTGCTTCCTGCATGGGTTTGATCCAGGAAGGCAGAGTCTTAACCACTGGACCACCAGGGAAGTCCCTGCAGACAACTTTCAGTTGCATCCTTGCCCGGCTCTTGTTTATAGTCACTAGCATACAAAGTTGTTATCACCTATTCACTATCTTCTCACATGAGATTCTAAGTTCCTATGGCCAACCACAATATATAATTCACCATGGTGTCTAGCACTGAGCCTGGCAGATAAAAAGTGCTCAATAATATGTGCTAAGGCATTTTAATACTCTAAATACTCAAACCATTATCTCCAAAGAATAAAGTGGGAGTTAGAGAAGCCAAAACTATCTTGTCAGGGAGGTATTTTGGGGGTGGCTGGCTATTCGGTGCCTTTCAACTCATGAAAATAATCTCTGACAGAACCAGCCCTGTTCACTGTGTCAAACTGAGTGACCTCTTTGATTGCTTCTAGGTGTTCCTCAGCACCACCGGAGGGGCATGGGCGATCAGCCGTGTCTTTGACTCAGGGTACCCATGGGACATGGTTTTCATGACACGATTTCAGAACACATTCAGAAATTCTCTTCCAACTCCAATTGTGAATTGGTTGATAGCAAAAAGGATGAACAGCTGGTTCAATCATGCAAATTACGGCTTAATACCAGAAGACAGGTAAATGCAGAGGGGCTGCAGAAGGCTGTTAGGGAGAAGGGGCATTGGTCCTTCCAGCAGCCATAATACAGCAACAAGACTGAGTATGAAGGAAAACTTCCTATAAATTACTTAGTCATAATGGCTAACTGTTTTCAGTGCTTGGTAAGTAGAATTATGTGATACATAGCTGTCAACAACCCTTTAAAGTAAACCATATAACCTCCCTTTCAGAGTGGGTATACTAAGGCTTAGGGAAATTCAGTCACTTGCCCAAGTTAATCTAGTACCAAGCAGACTCTGTGACCTTGGCAAGTTACATAAACCTTAGTTACAGCAATCAAAAGAGAATAATTTGTCTATGACTCTTCCAACAAAAGCAACACATTTGCCTATTTTGCAGTGTGGGGAAAACTTAATCCTTCACCATCTTTCAAAGGACAGTGCCTTCCTCACATGACCTTGATTTCAGTCTTATCCTTTCAGTTACAAGCCATTACTTAGCCTGTTAACAAGTACCAGTGGTTTTATTTTACTTTCTCATTCATTGACTCTGTACAATGATATTCCATTGCCAGGGTAGCACCACAGCCTGGAGATCCTGTCTGATCTTCCCCCAGATTCCACTCTGGACCGGGATTGATCAGGTGGCACCCAAGCCACCAGGGTTGGGAGACAGCCCCCTTCCTACTACATGTACTTCATTCCTCTGGGTCTCTTCATCTTTCTCTCATACACCTTCCTCTCCCTGCTCTTCTACTCCTGCTATTGTCTCCATATTTTTCCTTTCTTACCTACCCTCTTCTGTTGCCTAACTCCAGGTCCCCTAGGAGTTTTAAACTTTTCACCAGAGCCTTTCCTACCATAAGCTTGATTTAGCCTGAATGGCCACTCAAAAGACTTTATTTAATCCCACAAAGCCTAGAAAATGTAAAAGAAGTCTGAGGAATTGTAATATCGTCCCTGTTAGATTTAGCTAATCCTTTTTCATTTCCGAAGTTCTTAGAAATATACTATTTCATATGTTCTTCATCCTACCCAATCAACTAACAAGGATGGCAAGTATTAGCATCCCTATTTTACAGATGGATAAAAGAGAGCCTACAAAGATGAAATGGTTTCCCCAAGCTCTGTTAAGTATAAACATTTGGACACAAAGCCACCCTTACTACCTCCTGCTCCAGAGCTCCCTCCATTTGATCACATCGTCTGTTTCTGTGCATTCACCATAAGCCCAAAATGACTCAGCTTACTTAAAATCATCTAGCAAAGCATTTGCTTTGTGATTCCAAAGACACAGCCAGAAAAAGCTAATTCTGCCCTTGTTCCTTTTAAACACAGGCATACTTTCCTTGTACAATTGCTTCTGAGGAGGAGAGAGTTTCTAGCATTTCTCAGCAGATAGAGAAGTCCCTGGTTTCCCTTGTGGTCCTTCAGCATTCAGCTATCTCTAGAATGACAGGGATAACTGCATGCTGGAATTCAGCAGGAGAAGTAGAGCTAGAGAAAACTCTGACCTCCTTCTCCCCAGGCTTCTAAATTCTTGTAAATGGTAAGCATGGTTCCATCTTCTTTCTTGGTCGTTCATGAATCCACTCCCACAGAGGTAACTTCCCACAGTACTGTCACCTCCTGCCTAGCTGAGGGGAGAGTCTCAGAATGAAGAGGAGAAGGGGAGGAGGAGGGCGGGCTGACGGCATCAATTCCTGGCAGATCTCTTCCTTATCCTTGTTAATGTCTAGGGTACAACTAAGAGAGCCTGTGCTAAATGACGAGCTCCCAGGCCGTATCATCACTGGGAAGGTACTCATCAAGCCAAGCGTTAAGGAAGTGAAGGAACACTCTGTCGTATTTAACAACACCCCAAAGGAAGAGCCCATCGATATCATTGTTTTTGCCACTGGATACACTTTTGATTTTCCCTTCCTTGATGAGACTGTAGTGAAAGTCGAAGATGGCCAAGCATCGCTGTACAAGTACATCTTTCCTGCACATCTACCAAAGCCAACCCTGGCTGTCATTGGTCTCATCAAACCCCTGGGCTCCATACTACCCACAGGGGATACACAAGCTCGATGGGCTGTTCGGGTCCTGAAAGGTAAGTGTATAAGAAATAGGAGAACATGGGAATTCCCTGGCAGTCCTTTCACAACGGAGGGCTCAGGTTCAATCCCCGGTTGGGAAACTAACATCTCACAAGCCACGTGGTGTGGACAAATTAAAATAAATTAATTAATTTTTAAAAAAGAAATAACAGGATATATGTGTTCAGTTTACCATGTCATTTTAGATACCGGAAATTTTAAGACTTTTCCCACCTCCCATCTAAAATAATAGAATTTTTAAAAGCAAATTCATCTATTCTTCACTGAATTACAATATCATAATGAATTTGTGTCAGTACAAGCACAAAAGATAAATCATGGATCAAAAATTCTCAGCTGCTAGTCTGACTGAATCAACTGGTTCAATGAACATTTGAACATTTTAAAAGCTCAATCAATTGAATGACAAATTCAGTCAAGCCAGTTGTGAAGCATCTTTGCCTGCTAAGTAAGCACTGAAGTTACATTGCATTTTTGTTTATTTGTTTGCTTTATAGGTGTGATTAAGTTACCACCATCAAGCATCATGATTGAGGAAGTTAACGAAAGAAAAAAAAACAAGCGCAGTGGGTAAGTTAAGTGCTATGCATTCTTTTTGAATCACAACTAAAACTGGTAAAGCAAGAGCAAAGAATGGTGTGAGTTACACTGGAGAAAAAAGAACCGACTAAGACTCAAAAGGAGGGGGAATAAAGCTAACCTGTTAAAGGAAAGAGAGGAAAAGGAAACTGAGGTTTTAACATCCTAAACCATCACTTTAGACCATGGTCATCTAGCATGACATGGAGACGTGGAGTTTATATCCTAAACCAAATGTAATTAATCCTTATCTACCAGATATTACTCTATACTTCTATCCATAAGAAGAAGGCAAGCTGTTGTGTTTATCCACTCTGACACAAAAGGGTCTGCTCATTCATTCATTTCAGCAAATCCACGTTCAGCTCTCCTGTTTTTATTCAGACGGCCACTCTAGAACAGGAGTCAAAACAGGACCAATGGACCAAATCTGCCAACCACCTATTTTCCTATTTTAAATCACTAGAAAGAAGAAGATTTTATGATATGTGCAAATTTTGTAAAATTCACATCACTGTGGCCCTAAGTAAAGCTTTATTAGCACACAGCCCCACGGAAGTTTGGGCTTCCCTGGTGGCTCACTGGTAAAGAATCTGTCTGCCAATACAGAAGACACAGGTTTGATCCCTGGGTGGGGAAGATCCCCTGGAGAAGGAAATGGCCACCCACTCCAGAATTCTTGTCTGGGAAATCCCATGGACAGAGGAGCCTGGCGGGCTACAGTCCATGTGGTTGCAGAGTCAGACGTGACTGAGCAGACTCAATTTAAGTATTCTTTAACACTGCTTTCGCATTAGGACAGCAAAGTTGACTAGCTGAGGTAGAGACTGTAACATGGCCCTCGTAGACCTTAAATATTTAGCATCTAGCCTTTTGCAGAACAAGTTTGTCAGCCCTTCTCCAGAGAGAGGTCTCCACTTGTGCTCTTCTTTTTGGCTACCACAAAGGGCCAGGGACAGTGGAAGGTAGATGGCCAGCTGGGAGGGACTCTTGCTCTCCCCACCTCCTAGTCCTAAAGCACCTCTGATTTTCTCGGTTTTACTGTTTATGTTTCAGACTTTGACATATATTTTTCACTTGGGAAAAAGAAGGGGTTTGTGGCCGAGAAAAAAGACTTAAAATCACTGCATTTAAGAAACACCACTTTTCTCCTTCATATATATTTCCAAATTTCAAATGTTTTACTATCCTTGTCAAAGTCCTAAATCCCAAAATTATAAAAGCACTTCCAGTGTCTCTTCTTTCTCAACCTGGGATATGATTTGATTTCCATTATGCAATTCTGGTATAACATAAATCACTAATTAGAACTACATGAAGCAACAGCTTTTGTCACTTTGGTCAGTCAAGGGATTAATTAATTAAAGACTAATACCAGCATTACACAGAATTTCACCGAAATGAGTTTTGTGATTTTTCACATTATATAGATCAACCAATAATTGAGTTTTAGGAAGATATAAGAATAGTAAAATTATATAAAACCTTTTTTGCTAATCATTTAACAATAGAACTAAAGTAATACTAGATTCATTATCAGCATTTGACAAACAATGTGTACAGAGTGTTTTTTCAAAGGATCTATCTTGTATTTAAACAATACCATGAGACCATTTGACAGCTATGGGCGTGGAGGGAAGAATACAGAAACCAGTTCAAATTTTGTGGCCTCATTGATTACCTCTGGCACTTTTCCTTGTTCTAAAGTTACCATTATTTAATCTTTTTGTTTTCTCCTTTATCCCAATCTTCCTTTTATAAAGGTTTGGCTTGTGTTACTGCAAAGCTTTGCAAGCCGATTATATCACATATGTAGACGAACTCCTGACCGCTATCAATGCAAAGCCCAACCTGTTCTCTCTGCTCCTGACGGATCCACGCCTGGCTTTGGCCATCTTCTTTGGCCCATGCACACCATACCAGTTCCGTTTGACTGGTCCAGGGAAATGGGAAGGAGCCCGAAATGCTATCATGACCCAGTGGGACCGAACATTCAAGGCCACCAAAACTCGAATTGTACAAGAATCCCCATCTCTCTTTGCAAGCTTACTTAAACTCTTCAGCTTTCTAGCTTTGCTTGTGGCCATTTTCCTGATTTTCCTATAAATAGAAAATTACCTAAATAAACTATCAAATGCACAGAGTCGATGGACAGCAATCTGGTTCCCCCACTGCAACAACTTTGCCTTCATGACTATAATCTATATCTGAGCAATGACAGCCACCCCTTCCCCTTCCCTGGCTGGCTTCAGGACCCACTAGTATTCCTGAGTACCTCCCAGCTCCACCTGCTTCTAATGATAGAGAAAGGTAACCAAGATTTCTGTGCATTTGAAGGCTGCTGGAAGGTTCAGGGTTCATTTTAGAAGAGAGAGTTGTCTCAGACACCACTTTGAGAAATTAGACCTCTTTCCTATTTTCATATATCTCAATTAAAACTCAATATTTCATGAAAGATTTGGTTGTATTAAAATGGCACTCTTATGGTATCAGTTGATTAAAAATAAAAAGAAAGCAAAAGCCTAGGATTACCTTGAGTGGTCTTTAATTCTCTTTTTAAGAGTTGGGGGAAAGAGAGAAGGGGATCAGAAGTCTATTAATAAAGACCGTAAAAGGATGGGAGGTGTCAACGACTTGGTTGGAGTGTTTCTAAAGGAATGTACCTGCCTAGAAGTGCCCATGCCCCTAGAATACACTCTTCAACCAAACAGGGTCTTCAGCTGACATAAGAACAAACCCAATCAGATCTATTCCACAGAAAGCAACCACCTCCACCCACTCTTGGAACCAGCCTCCAGCATCCAAAGGAAAAACGTCTTCCACCCACATACACCTTTATAACTCTACTTAAAGAGGCAAACGGCTGCCTCTTCTAAGAGTCAACCAAATCCAATTGGAAAAGACAGAGCTGAGAAGTCTTTCACAGAGAGACAATAGGAGAAAGGAAAGACAGGAAAAGAAGAGCAAAGGCAAACACCGTGTCTAAAGCAGCTTTTGACCAAGCTATACCAACCCTGGATCCTCTCTCACAGTTACACATTTGAGAATCTGACAGCCAGAAAAGGTGTTGCCTTCACATCATCTCACTGAGGGGCTTAGATGGCCCACTTCACCTCACAGACAGGCCCACGGTTTGCATACTGGAGGAAATTCAAAATCGACGGACTCAGGATTGAGTTGTGTAGGTAAGAAGAGACGCAGTTTGTGTCGCTTCCACTCTGGTCTGCTCTTCCAGCTCCTCTTTCTTGTTCCATTTTTTTAACACTTCTAACCTATTTCACTTCTTAACATATGTGATATTGTGATATGTAATAACAACTGTATATGTGGTCTTCCTCCTCATTTCCAGCACAGAACTCCTAAGACTCTTGAAATCTCCTAAGGGATGAGAACATAAAGATATCTTTTGTTAATGAGGTGACTCTCAGAAAACACCTAAAGATGGGGGCCAATCACCAGGAGAACCATCCATGTGATTAGAGGATTGGAATTATCCTTTCACCCCTTGGATCTGTGGGGAGGGGAGCGGCAGGCTGGAGGTTGAATCAATAACCAAAGGTTAGTGACTTAATCAATCATGTCTATGTAACGAAACCTCTGTAAAAACCAAACAGGATGAGGTTCAGAGACCTTCCGAGTTGGTGAACACATAGAGATTCAGGGAGATTGGTGCCCTTGAGAGGACATAGAAATTCCATTCCCTTCCCACCTACCTTGCCCTGTGTAGCTCTTCTATCTGGCTATCCCTAAATTATATCATCCTTTTACAATAACTAGTAATCTATCAATAGAATGTGTCTCTGAGTTCTGGGAGCCAAACTAGTTCACAAAAGCACTGATTATTTTAGCAAATTGTTGAACCCAATTAGGGGCTCATTGAAACTTCCTACCTACAGCTGGTTCTCAGAAGCACAGGTGACAACCTGGGCTCATGATGGACATCTGAAGAGAAAGCAATCTTGTAGGACCAAGCCCTTAACCTGTAGAACCTGATACTATCTCTAGGTAGATAGTGTCAGAATCAAGTTCAACTATAGGAAACCCAGCTGGTCTCCAAAAACTGCTCAATGGTGTGGGAAGAAAACCCCCAACATACATTGGAATTGGAAGCAGAACACTTAATATAGGAACTCATAGTGGAAAAACTGCTCTGCTGAACATAATAGAAAAGACTTTGGGAAAAGCTTTTCTCTTCCATGAAGCAGAGCTGACACTTGAGCATTCCTCATGAAGTTGGCTGGGAAAGTTGGGTACCCAGGGTGAAGAAGGGCAAGGTAAACTATCCAGGCAACCATGGGGCAAACTATGGGAACAAGCTGGAGCCTGAATCTAATCTCATCTGCTGAACACATTATACCAAGAGACTGAATACACAGACAGATTATTGCCAAACCATCTACAGTAGAATTCTGACCCATAACCTCTGCAACAATCAGATTAGAACACGCAGGACCAAGACTTGCTCAATAAGTGCTAGCTTCTCTAACTTTCGGCCTGGTTCCAACTCAGAAACAACAAAGAAAATCAAACATAATCCCCAAACCAGGCACATGTGATGCCTTGTTTCTCATTAGCCCACCTCCACCTTTCCCATGCCAACAATCGCCAATAAGAGTATGTCTGAATCCCTCCTATTTTCTAATTTTTTAAAAAATTCCCCTTCCTGCCTTTGAATCTCTGCCAAATGTAATGATGGTAGCTGAGTTTCTTACCATGGCAAGCTCTGTCTTCATGGGGAAGTCAGTGCTACACAATTTAACAAGAAACAGACAAGGAAATATCAGCTGATTACTCCAAAGTTGTTGCTGTTTGTGGTTTAGTTGCTAAGTCGTGTCTGACTCTTCTGCGACCCCCTGGACTGTAGCCTGCCAGGCTCCTCTGTCCGTGAGATTTCCCAGGCAAGAATACCCGAGTGGGTTGCCATTTCCTTCTCCAGGAGATCTTCCCGACCCAGGGATTGAACCCACGCCTCCTGCATTGGCAGGTGGATTCTTTACCACTGAGTCACCTGGGAAGCCCCTAGTCCAAGGTAACAGAACTAATAAGTGGCTGAGTGAAAGCATGGATCTGCAAAACATATATCCAGGGATCTTCTTAATGCCAGCATTTAAGCCTGTGGTTTCCAAAGTGCAAATGACTTCAGATGTCTTAATAGTGATATCATGAAAGTCATATTACAAGGATATTGCTCCACGAAAGCATCCATATGTCTCCCTTTCTCACTCTGCCTGAGTGTGTGTATAGACCTGCCTCTCTATCCAAGCACATCTGCCCTGCTGTGTCTGGGATTTTGCAGCTAATTTCCTCCATGTAGATCACCATGCTTCTGAATCTCCACATGCAACTTTTTCACTGTTCATCCCTCCCTCTTCTTCTCTGACCATGACTATTCTAGACCTACTCTGTGGCCATAGTGTAGAACAAGTTCAATAGGAAGAAGGGGTCTCATTCCTCACCCTGGAATTAGGCCATAAATCATACTGGGAAACAGTATGTCAATTATAGTTTTACAGAGTCTCCAAACATCTCTCAGAACCAAAATTAGATCACCTTGAAAGGAGTGCTCTTGCTCTTGACAATGCTTATTCATTTATTTAACTGTGAAAGAATAAAAACAAATATTTATTGAGTACTATTTATTTTTAAACTGTGCAATTCTACATCAGTTCAGTTTAGTCACTCACTCGTATCCAACTCTTTGTGACCCCATGGACTGCAGGACACCAGGCTTTCCTGTCCATCACCAACCCCTGGAGCTTACTCAAACTCATGTCCATCAAGTCAGTGATCCAATCATCTCATCTTTGTTGTCCCCTTCTCCTCCTGACTTCAATCTTTCCCAGCATCAGGGTCTTTTCCAGTGAGTCAACTCTTCGCACTGGGTGGCCAAACTATTGGAGTTTCAGCTTCAGCATCAGTCCTTCCAATGAATATTCAGGACTGATTTCCTTTAGGATAGACTGGTTGAATCTCCTTGCAGTCCGAAGGACTCTCAAGAGTCTTCTCCAACACAGTTCAATAGCATCAATTCTTCGACAGTCAGCTTTCTTTATATTCCAACTCTCACATCCATACAAGACCATCGGAAAAACCATAGCCTTGACCAGACAGACCTTTGTTGGCAAAGTAATGTCTCTGCTTTTTAACATGCTGTCTAGGTTGATCATTCCTTGCAAGGAGCAAGAGTCTTTTAATTTCATGGCTTTTGGTTTCTGCAGTGATTTTGGAGCCCAAAAGAATTCTACATAATTGCCAACTGAATTCTACATAATTACCTGTTGAAATACATTTTTTCCATTACTGATTGAAACACATCCCATGCATAAGAACAAATGAATTTAGTTACTGTTGCCCTAATGGTCCAGGAGCGAGCAAGGAGAATGAAGACAGAACACGAAATCTGGTGCAATGGGTCAGGGGACCTGCAGCCTCTATTGCACTGACATGCAGAGTCCATCCTGAGTCCAGCTTTTGTCCCTAATTGCTGACTACAGGACTTTCTCAGATCTTATCTTTCTCAAGACACATGCTGTGTTGATCACCTACTCCTAAATGTCATGACTCTACTGACATAGTCCAGATCTCCTTGTGTTTACCCCAGGCCGATCCCTTCTGGGCTAGTCTTAGGAACAATTAGCAAGTATGCAGTATTCACGCCTGGTGCCAACCCGGTGTTCCAAGGTCCATGCTGTCATGATCCCAGTCATACTCCCTTCTGGATCTGGCCTTGGGGTTTGTAACAAGGCATTTATTCTCAAGAAAAAAATGAAAGATAATCACTAACATAATTTCTTAATATATGCTGTTTTACCAGGTGCTATTTCTGTGAAATTTCTCAGGACTGTGAAAATACATTATTAGGAATTCGCACTACAAGTTAGGTCCCAGAAACCTAGCAAAAGCGAAAACATATTAAACACTTTGGCCGGGTGAGGAGCCAAGATGGCAGAGAAATAGGACGGGGAGACCACTTTCTCCCCTACAAATTCATCGAAAGAACATTTGAACGCTAAGAAAATTTCACAAAACAACTTCTGATCGTTAGCAGAGGACATCAGGTGCCCAGAAAAGCAGCCCATTGTCTTCAAAGGGAGGTAGGACAAAAT